AAAAAAAAAAAAAAAAAAAAAAAAAAAAAAAAAAAAAAAAAAAAAAAAAAAAAAAAAAAAATAAAAAAAATAAAAAATAAAAAAAAAAGAAAAAATAATTAAAATGTTAAAAAAAAAAAAATTTTGAGTTATTTAATCATATCAGACCTGTAAAATACTACATTCAATAACTCTGAAATGTGTCTATAATAAATAAAATAAATTTTATTACACATTATAGTATTAATAAATAAAAATTATTAAATTAAATTAGATTATAATATTATCAATCTATATTATTATTTTTAGGAATAGATTAAAAAATTTAACAAAGAAATGAAGAATTTGAATCGTCATGTTTTACTTATCTTAGATGATACTTCTTCACATGCCACTACTATTCTTACTTTAACTAATATAAAGGTGCTCAAACTACCTCCAAAAGTAACGTCAAAGATATAGCCCATGGATGCTAGCATTATTGCATTATTTAAGATTCATTATCATCATATGCACTTCAATGTGCAATTAATCATGACAAAGCTAGAAAAAATAATATTTATAAAGTTGATCAATTGCAAGCTATGAGATGTGTAAAAGTTGTCTGAGATGAAGTATCTGCTACAACAATCAAGAATTGCTGGTTTCACACCAAAATTGTATCTTCCCATAATGAAGATAGAATACAGTTGTCTCATTTCCTCTAGTTGAAAATGTTGAAAAAAGCTTACTTGTTGATCCAGATAATGAATTGGCTGCTGATGAGCTTCAACAAATACTGGATATGTTGCATATTCATAATCCATTGTCAATTGAAGATTTGTTAGATTTGAGGAAGAAAAAATAGATATACATCAACAATTTAATGATAATGATTTTATTCAAGGTGTTACAAAAATAGAACAAGTAGAAAATGATGTTATAACACAACTCTTAACCAGAAAAGAACAGTTGGATATTCTGTGCAATGCTCTAAAAATTGTTAATAAGAGAAATGATGATGGTGAGATCACAATGAGGTCTTTATATAAGCTTCAATCACATATTCAGGAGGAAGTTCGAAAGGAAGAAGCTGAAAAACAAGTCCAATCTACACTGGATCAATTCTTGTCAAGACCTGAACAGTAAATAGCATTATATATTAGATTTAATTTTAGGAATACAGTTAGTAAATCAAACAGGTAAAATTTCTTTATAATTATAACTTTAAAAATTTATAATTTTATATAATTTTACCATAATGTCAGTGGAAAAATATTATAAATAAATAGCCAGAGAGTTGTATCTTGCTTTGAATTTAGCTTATAAAATGTGATAAATTAATAATTTAAAGAATGCGCAATAATGTAAACTATACTGTACGTATCATAATTCACCAATTTTAATGCCTCTAACAAATCTGAATACAGTACAATTAACATTATATCACGTGAAGGATAGTAAGTTTTATGTGATTTGATTGGATACATTTCATGTGACTCTATAAAGCTAATCAGGAACTTAGATATAAAGACTATTGGTTATCAGAAATTGCAGGTTATCAGGTATTAATTATGGAACAGGTATAGTGGATCAATTTTTAACTGATTATAGCAGGTTATTAATTTTGACAAGATCACTTTGGAGAGGGTCAACTGTAGTTTATCTACAAATTACATATTGTCTATAAAATCTAGATAAGTTTTGACTACTCTAGTAGGTTTATGTTATAGATAATTAGTCTAAGCTCTTATTCTTGTATGTAATTTATATTATTTGATTGTACAAATTGGGTCTTTATTATAATTACTCAAATAAATTGCTAAATAAAAATATAAGCAAGGCCTTCCTTACCTTAAAAAATATATATATATATATATATAATACTCCTTATAAATATTTAGAAATTTTTCTGAATATTCAGATTTCAAGCTACTTCAAGCTTAAAATACCCAAATTTTTAAAAGATTTAGGTATTTTGGTGAATAGAATATAGTAATTTAATATTTTAAACTTTTATACAAATCTTATTTGTCTAATATTAAATATTCAAAATATAATTAATAAAAATTTGTATCTTTATAAATATAAATAGTTTAGTTTGGTTAAACCTATTTTATAAAGTTTATAGAAGAGAATTAAGATAAAAATAGTCTGAATTAGCACTTTAATTTAACTTATTAAAGGACATCTCTTAGTAAATATCTAAAAGCCACAACTAAAGTGCCCTTGCAACAATAATAAAAGTTGTAATGCTCTTCATTTACTTTTATTAGTAAAGTAAAATTTATTTTATAGTATTTAAAAGAGAATCTTGACATTTGTATCAAAAAACTGCAATTTTCAGGTCTGATTTTATTTTGCAAAAACTCAAAAAATATGATTATTTCTAGCATAAATAAAAGCATAAAACTCAAAAAATAAAACTTGTTTAAGGCTAGAATATTGCTTGCTATTAATTAGTCAAAGTAGTAAAAAAAGGTCATGGCAACTTATATTACACAAAGAATAATTACTAATAAAATCATAGAGAGGACATATTCTGTGACTGTTATATACATATCTGTGCATATAAAATTTTTTTAACATGCACATTGTGCAAATAAATTTTTTTTTTTACATATATATTTGTGCAACTGGTTGTTTATTTGTGCATCTAAACCTTATATTCAACATGCATTTGTGCAAGTAAATTTAAATCTACATTTTAAACACTACCTTGAACTGCTATCATAAAACCCCCTAGCGCACCCACAAAAATTTTTCCCACCATGATTTTGGCCAATCAAATTTCAAGATCAGGTGTAATGCAAACAAATGAAGCAAAAGCATTTTTTACAAATAAACTAAAATAACTCGAAATTTTAATTAAGAAACTACCTTCTGCGGCCTAATTAAAAATGTTCCTTGTAAAATTTTATTAATAGAAATAACCCTAACCCTAACCCTAACCCTGACCCTACACTATTCTCGCTCTAACCTTAATTATAACGCGGTTTTATAAATCATAGGTGGGGAAAGTTTTTGTGGGTGTGCTACCTAAAATCTATCATAGTCGCGGTGCTTAATCATCAAAATTGAGGTTCTTGCAATACCTGTGGTAGTCATAGAGCCTAAATACAATATGAGGCCCTTCATTGCCATCGTAGCCACGGAGTCTAACTACAACGTGAGGTTCTTGCACTGCTATCATAGCTGCGGAGCTTAATCATCATACAAGAGGTTCTTGCACTGCCTGCAGCAGTATAGAGCCTAATCACAACATGAGGTTCTTGCATTGCTATTGCATCCACAAAGCCTAATCATAATGTGAGATGCTTGCACTGCTATCATAGTTACAGAGCTTAATATCCATACATTAGGGTCTTGCACTGCCTGTGACAGCCACAGAGCCTAATCACAATGTGAGGTCCTTACATTGCTCTATCACAGCCACGGTAACTAATCACAACATGAGATCCTTGCACCACTATCGTAGTTACAGTGCTTAATCACAAAATATGAGATTCTTCACTGCCCGTGGTGGCCATAAGGTCCTTGCATTGCTATCGTATCCACAGAGCCTAATTACAATGTGAGTTCCTTGCACTGCTATCGTAGTTGCGGGGCTTAATCGTCAAGCATGAGGTCTTGCATTGCCTGCGGCAGTCATAGAGCCTAATCACAAATGTAAAGCCCTTGCATGCTATTGCAGCTACAGAGCCTAATTACAACGTGAGATCCTTGCACAACTGTCGTAGTTATGGTGTAAACATGAGATCCTTACAGCCTGCGGCAGCCATAGAGCATAATCACAACATGGGTCCTTGCATTGCTATAGCAGCCACGGAACCTAATCACAATGTAAAGTCCTCATACTGCTATTGTGGTTGCAGTGCTTTATCACCAAACATGAGGTTCTTCACTACCTATGGCGACCATTAGATATGGGTTCGGCTAATGATTATTCATAGACAATTTTCTAAATACTGATATGATTTTTTTATTTGAGCTTTTAATTAAGTTTTTAGAATTTAATTCTGTTCATCTCATCATATAAGTGGAAAGAACGATCGATACCTTCTCTGGAACTCAGAATTTCAAATTTTGTTAATTTTATTAGCCGCCAGCCATTAATCGGCTATTATATTAACAAAATTTAAAATTCTTAGTTCCAGAGAAAGTTTCGTTCTTTCCACTTATAAGATGGGATGAACAGAATTTAATTCTGAACAACTTCAATTAATAGCTCAAAAAGAAAAAATCAATATTTTAGAAAATTGATTATGAATAATTGTAGCTGTTTGCACCGAACCTATCCATAGAGCCCAATATCATTATGAGGTCCTTGCATTGCTACCGCAGCCACTGACCCTAATCGCAATGTGAGACCCTTGTACTGCTATTATAGATGTGGATCCTATAAAAAAATTTAAAATTATTCAGAATTTGTTCAGATAATTATTTTAAGAATGAGTATTTTCCGGAATAAAAATTTGAACCTTTTTTTTATAGGGGAGCTCAATCATCAAACATGAGGTTCTTGCATTGCATGAGCAACCATAGAGCCTAATCACATGAGTATAGTTGCCGTCCATAATTATAACTATTGGTCCAAATTGGATATATCTGAAATTTGTCCCAAATCCCAATTCATACAGTAAGTTTGGGACAAGTGCCACGGCTTTAACAAGTCTCAAATAGTGAGTAATACTCTAGACAGTCACAAAATCCCAAACCAATTAGGTTTGAACGCAACTATACACAATGAGGTCCTTGCGCTGCTATCGCAGCCATGGAGCCTAATCACAATATGAAGTCCTTGCACTGCATGATACAATATCAGATATAGTACACTCATCTCTAACTCCCTTTAAGCAACTCAAGCACCTAGTTATAGTAGTAAAATTTTTAAGATTATATTATTTTAAAAAAATATACTTCCTTATACAGTTAAATTTGCCGGGTTACATGAAAATAAAAATAGTAAAATTATTTCTAAAACAATTAATTACCCAATCAGAATTGTGTTTACTATATAATCTATTACACCAAAAAATTTAATGCGCAAATCATATGATAAATGATTTATGTATACTCTACCCTTAAGTCATGCAGTTATCTAATAGACTAATATCGAGAGTTAAATTTATAATAAATGTATAAGCATTTTAGTTGGGATCGAGTTTTAAACAGAGTCTCCAAATTTCAACATCTCTTAAGGCAACGATTATTTATAATTTAGGTTTGTATTTAGAGCAAAGACTATTCTATTTTTGTTCTATTACTAATCCTAGCTGTTTATAGGAAAGCAGTGTTCACTTTGAGTTGATGGATCATTACCCCACCAAGTTGGAAATCGTACCTGTAAGATAAATGTATTGAGTCAGACATATAAAAATTCGAACTTGGTACATAACTTTAGCAGTAATATTAAATTAGTAACTTACCTTCACAACACCACTAAGACAAACGAAAGCTACCATTGTCATAATTTGTGCACCACTGTCAAATGATGCAGACATTACATAATTGTATCTATCATTATAAATAAATTAGTATCATTTAAAAATATTGATTATACATACATATATATGTGTGTGTAAAAAAAACCTACTTTTTCCACCATCTATAATAATTAAACGAGAAATTTTAATTTTAATTCATACAGTATCATATACATATATTTATAATAATGAACTTACCTATTCTTATAACGAAATGCATAAAATTGACTCAAAAAGCTAGCAATAAACCCAGTGATAATAAAATTTGGATAAGTTCCGGGAAAAACAGTTAAACCATACAATATCACAGGAGTATTCACGAGATTGAATTTTGCCTTTGGAAATTTTCGATGAAGTAAGTAAAATGGTATTGGCAAAAAGCAACCAATGAGGAAACCCCAGAGAAGTACATTATAAATTGAGCCAGGCTGTCGAAAACCAGAGGTATTATAATTCATTATTTCAATAATAAAGCACTGTGATATATTATATCGAACTGACATACCCCAAAAGTCCTTCCCGGTCCAATTAATCCCCATACTATAGACGCAGTATTGAATACTTCTGGCTGAAGACCAGCCCACTACATGCACAATTAAAAACATTCACTTAAAAAAGTTCAAAAAAAAAAATCAAATAATCTACTTACTTGGCCAGTTGGAT